CACACTGTCTGCCGTCTGCCCTGTACAGTGAAAAATGAGATTCGTTCAACACATCTCCAAAGTGCCAGACGGCATCGAATGTGAGCATTTGCCCACTCCAGACGGTTACGACGACGAACCGCAGTCAGGTCGAGACCCCGAGGAGGACGACGAGCATGCAGATGAGCTTCCCTGAGACGGTTTCTGACAGTTTGTGCAGAAATTCTTTGGTTATGCAAACAGATTGTTGCAGCTGCTGTGTGGTGGCTGGTCTCAAACTGGGCTGGTGTGATTAAACATGGTCTGCGGTTGTGCAGTAATGCGGCTTATGATAGAGAAATGAACATTCAATTCACGGGCTACAGCTCTGGTGGACATTCCTGCAGTCAGCATGAATGAATGACAGCTTGTTCCAGGTAATGCCAATATCCAGCAACTTCGCACAGCCATTGAAGAGGAGTGGATCATCATTCCACAGGCCACAATAAACAACCTTCTTTTCGGACCCCCACCCCCCATTATTTTTTAGGTTGTAAATTCCAAATAGCAACAAACTTACTTAGAGCACATTGACAAACCAAATCTATTCATCGTCATTTCTTTAAAGCTGAAAGAAAAATCCTCAGATGTTGTGAAGCTCATGTGCATTTGCAGGTTTGTTTGACCACATAGATCAAACACATGCAGTCTTTCATCAGTCTTTAAACCTGGATCATCGATTGTGTTTGAACCGTCCTGTTTACTAGGTGCTTCTGTTGAAGTGTTCTGTTGCAGGAGGGCTAATTGGTCAGCCAGGGATACTTATGAAGTACTTAACAAGCAGGTCTATTTACACATAATTGATAAGGAAAATGTCAACAAAGGCAATACAATTTAGGGCAATTTCGATTTCAGATCAGCTGGGAAGGAAAGCACTCTTGCTGGGTTTTGACGTGGCTTTAAAGGGATAGTTCACTTTGAAATTAATTTTTAGTATGTTTTATCTTACCTCAAAGCCATCCAAGATGTAGGTGTCTTTGTTTCCACAGTATTTTCAATTTTGACATTTTTCGGCCAAACCGTTGTTGTCTGTCAGTCATATAATGCAGATATGGGGGTCCACGTCAAAGAGCATGCACAGAGAAGTCAAAATTAAACATGATTTAATGACTCATAAATGTAAGAACACATTGATGGCCTAAGACACGAAACGAGCAGTTTGTGTGAGAAAACGAACAGTATTTATATCGTTTTTACCTCGTATAATCACAGTCACGTCCAATTAATCTGAATCAGTTGTGCAATGTCCAACTGAACCGAACTGAATCATGTTCAAAGTTTCGCCGGAAGTGATCGCTTGAGTGTGTACGTCACTCAATATTTACACAGAGATTTCGGAAGTTTTATCTTTCACTAAACATATTTAGATACAACCCGGTCTCATCCCAAGGCGTCATATAACTGACATTTTGGGACGTCTTTTGACCATACGTCAATATTCGTCTTTTTAGGGCCCCCTTAAACGTCGGTAGATGAGGTCATGGGATCCTAACTCTACCCCAGACCTAAACTTAACCCTAAACCTAACCCGTCACCTAACTGACGTTAAAGGTAAAGCGCCCGGGATCGCCATCTACCGACGTTTAAGGGGGCCCTAAAAAGGGCGGATATTGATATACGGTCGAAAAACGTCCCAAGACGTCAGTTATATGACTTTTTGGGATGAGACGGTGTTATTAGATATACCGAAATCGTCTTCCATTGCGATTTCCTGTATATCTAAATATGTTGTAGCCTGGCTGCGCCCTCCTACGCACTTCCGCTCAATTTCATTTTACTTCAGTACTACGTCTGGGATCGCTCCATATCCTTAGGTTTCCAGAAATCAATTTTTTGTAGGACCAATCAGCGAATAGAGGGAGTGGCTGAGAAAGATGACGTTGATGTAAGCGCGTCAGTTTGAGTTCAGTAATGGCAGCGGAGAAAGACGTGAGAAAAGCTATTCGGTCCGTTGTTGGAAAAGAAACTGCCGAATATACAGAATTTAAAGCCGGATTGTTATCCTCTCACCTCTTGTTGCACAACTGAGGACCAAGTGAAGGAGGCAGAAAGTTTGGAAGTTTTTGCTGGGCAGCTCGTGCACGATGACCCATGACCGTGACATTTTGGACGGACGGTTTAGCCTGGTGTTCGCGGTGTTCGGAAGCCCCAAGTCCTGGCTGCTAAACTATTGTTGAAGATCCGTTTAGGAGTCATGTCAGTCGCTCATGTTCCCAACTGTATAGTTACTGATTCTTGTGATGAATAGAACATTTTGAGCCCCTTTGTGCACTCGTGCAGGAGGTTGGTGTGTCAGTTTTACATGTTGTAAATCATACAAATTGGTTGTGATTTTTTAAAAATAATTGTCATAAATAAAAATGTGAAAAACCATACTTTGAAGATATTTGATTTTCAGTTTTAGATGGCAATGGTTGATTTGTTTTACTAAAAAAAAACTAAATGCCACATAAAAATGTACAAACACATACTTTGAAGACCATAATTAAGGTAATTAAGAAACAATAAGACGTAATATGAAAAATTGTTGTTTATTACACATCTGCAGATAGAGACAAGACTGATCATTCACTGTAGCTGCTACAAATTTGCGGCAGATCAGAAAACGACCACAGCGGCGTATTTGTAATGATTAGACACAGCTTCCACCGTTGAATGAATATATCACTGTCTTTCGTGTCAAATATACATTTCGAATTAATAATTGTTCCTAGATTAACAAAACCTGCGGGCCGCGGCGCTCGTTGACTGAAATCCTATTCTAAACATAATCCTCTGATCATTCGGACTTGTTTCCAGCCATTTCGGAGCGTGACATACGTCACTCACGACACCCCGTTAGCGATTGGCTATGGCAGATCGTGAGTGACTTTGGGCAGATCCAATAGATTTGAACTTTAATAGTGAACCCGCCTACAAGGAAGGAAACGTTTCTCAATGGAGCGGTTCCAGACTCTATGTGGAAATGAAATGAACTACTAGAGTCTGGTTGAACCAGGCTAAATATGTTGAGATCTTCTCAGTGAAAGGTAAAACTTCCGAAATCTCTGTGTAAACAATGAGTGACGTCGACGCTTCCGGCGAAACGTTGGGCATGTTTCAGTTTGAACATTGGACAACTGATTCAGATAACTTGGACGTGACTGTGATTAAACGAGGTAAAAACTATATAAATACTGTTCGTTTTCTCACACAAACGGCTCGTTTCGTGTCTTAGGCCATCAATGTGTACTTACATTTACGAGTCATTAAATCATGTTTAATTTGAACTTCTCTGTGCATGCTCTTTGAGGTTATATGATTGACAGACAAGAACGGTTTTACCGAAAAATGTCAAAATTGAAAATACTGTGGAAACAAAGATCACCTACATCTTGGATGCCCTTGAGGTAAGCTAAAACATATCAAAAATTAATTTCAAAGTGAACTATCACTTTAATAATTAGTGCTGTATCAAGATTGTAATTAAAATTGTAATAACTCAGGTTGATACTAGCACAGTCAAGCCACTGCAGGGGAGAATGAAGATTTCCACTTTATATTGCCTATAGTAACCCATAAGATGAACTGGAAAAGGCTAAACACTGCTGAGCAGATGCTGTCCTCATTAGCAGGATTCTTGGCTCCTGCTTCTGTGCTGCTGAAGATGCTTTGCATTGACACTGAATGTTGTCAACATCTAGCTGTCAATCATATCAAGGCTGTCTTAGTCGGTATGGTGTGAATGTAATGTGTGGGTGAGCAATGAAATGTACAGTATTGTATCATCATGAAAAGGTGTTTACAGCACATAATACAGGTATATATTTTTGTATGGAACAGATTGAAATTACACATGCCATAGTTGTTATCATTTTATTTTACGACTGTCACAATTACACTTTTCAATATACACTGCCCAGGGGGGAAAAAGGGGTGTTTGTTTCTTGCACGTCATGTTTGGCAACAGTTCTTCTAACCCTAATTGGAGTATGTAGCTTTTCATTTCTGAAACAACCAGGTTGGAAGACACATCATGACTCTATATCAGGATGACAATGTCAAGATGTGAAAGAATGGTTGGGAGGGAGCATGAAGAATCATTTTCTGAGTCCAGACCTTAAATTCATTGAAAGTTTTCGGGATGTGTTGGAGTAGATGTGTGGAGTGATGAACACATGAAGAGTTCAGATGCAAAAGCCTCTAAATGCCATTTGAAATTTTCTTCTTTAATGATGATTTTTATCAAACTTGTATATTTAAGTTCAGTAATTTCACTTGAATAACAATTAATAGGTAATTATCATTGCCATTTAAGTGAAATCACTGAACTTAAATATACAAGCTTGATAAAAATGATCATTTTGGAAGAAAATTTCAAATGGCATTTAGAGGCTTTTGCATCTGAACTCTTTACATGCTCTCTCAATACAAGATCTTGGCCAAAAATTGATGCACCTCTTAATGGAAATAACATCACAACATTTATTTCCATCAAGAGGTGCATATATTTTAGTCAAGATCTTGTATTGACAATTATTTATGCTACCTCCCAACCATTATTCCATATTTTGCCATGCCTGTGAATCTTGACATTGTCATCCTAGAATATGGCCATGATGTGTCTTCCTACATGATTGTTTAAGAAAAGAATAGCTACACACTCCATCAATTAGTGTTAGAAGTTGCCAAACTTATAACATGCTTGAAACAGATATTCACTGCAGTAATGATCCAGTCAAGAATTTGCCTTGAATCCAATTTTTTGGGGGGTTGGACAGTGTATTTCAATTGCATCACTCCAGTTGCATTATTACTGAACCCACCTGAAAGTTTTGGGCTAGTTTGTGCTTTTTTTGTGCTCATGCACTGGTAAGTTTCTTTGTGATTATGATGAGGTTAGTCTACAGGTACATATTTGTATTTGGAGCAGTTTGAAATTAAGTTTTCCCTAAAAATTGAAATGTATTTTAAATGAATATGTGCAAACATGTATTTGACAGGTTCCTAGATGGGAAGATTCTGGACATCAATAAAGAGTTCCAGCCGTACCTGGGCGAGGGTGGGCGGATTCTGGAGATCCGTTCTCCTGACATTGTGGCGAGTGTGAAGAAGGCTGCACAGGCGGTGGGCTACACAGAGGGGGCGCTGTTGGCGCTGGCCATAATCATCATACTGTGCTGCATCCCTGCTATTCTTATCATTATGGTGACATACAAACAGTGAGTACAATATTCTTACTTTTCGAATGTCAGTCCTTTCAATGACAATCAGCCTCTAAGTTTCATATTTCAGGTTTTTAAACAGCTTATATGATTATGATAATGATTTATTCAGTGCAGTTTGATGCACTATTTTCTAAAGTGCTGGAAAAGAATCCCATCAAACTGAATTTACTTACTACTTAATTTAATTGTAATAAACGGTGCAAATAATAAATAATGTACGTGTCCGTTCAAGCACAAATAGCTGCAGAAGAGAATGAAACTGACAGTGATAAAAATTTCACTCTATGTAATGTTAATGTTAAAATTTGCAATTAAACCAAGAATCATGTGCGTTTCAAACCATGGTGCCTGGTCCGTACAGATCACAGTGACTCTCGATGCTAAAACAATTGTGCAGCCCTAATTCAAAATGGAAAACAGTTTTTGGTTATTTTACATTTTCTTTCGACAGTTTCGTTTTTGAGAAGTTAGAGAATCTGCAAATGTAATTTTGTTTAGTCAAAAGTTACAACATGAGACTATTAGACCTTCACACCGTGTCCTAACTACATGCGACGCGACGGCGCGACACGCGATAAAAGGTATCTTTTCCATGTTAATCAGAGTTTTTGTCCTAACCAGACGCGACGACGACACACGAAGTTTCTAATTTAGAAACGGTTCCTATTTCTGTGATGTCGCGGCTGACAGATCCACACACACAGAGATATAACACTGGTTATGAGTACACATTATTTATTTTTAGTTAAAAATAGGTCACTGTGACACAAGCGATAACGGATAATTTACCTCAGATTTTGAAAGCATTTAAAATAGCGTTCAAAATGAATTCTATGCAAACATACAACTGTACTTCATAACAAAATTAGTCAGTATATTTTGTTAATATTTTCATTTTTAATAATGTTAATTCTTGATTTGATTATGTCCTTACCCATTTCCAATGCGAGTGCGGGCCAGCAGTGCGCTTTCACAGAGAGACTCCGCCCACATGCTGTTCTGAATGGCTGTGATTTTTGATTGACGTGTGGCGTCTCACAGTCGCGTTGCGTCTAGTGTGGACAGGCACAATTGCTGTCGCTGGAATTTTATTGCGTCGCCTGTAGTTAGGACACGGTGTTAGCTAGCAGGTAAAATGTTTTATATAGGTCTTTATATATATATATATATATATATATATATATATATATGAAGAGTTCAGATGCAAAAGCCTCTAAATGCCATTTGAAATTTTCTTATTTAATGATGATTTTTATCAAACTTGTATATTTAAGTTCAGTAATTTCACTTAAATAACAATTAATAGGTAATTATCATTGCCATTTAAGTGAAATCACTGAACTTAAATATACAAGCTTGATAAAAATGATCATTCTAGAAGAAAATTTCAAATGGCACTTTGAGGCTTTTGCATCTGAACTTTACATATATATATATATATATATATATATATATATATATATATATATATATATATATATACATATACACCCACACACACATACACAGTGTCTCACAAACGTGAATACACCCCTCACATTTTAGCAAACATTTTAGTAGATCTTCCCAAGGGACAATACTATAGAAATGAAACTTTGATATATTTTACAGTAGTTAATATGCTGCTTGTATAGCAGTATATTTACTGTCCTCTGAAAATAACTCAACATACAGCCATTATGGTCAAAATAGCTGGCAGCAAAAGTAAGTACACACTAAGTGATAATAGCAGTACTCGTTTATCCATGCAAAGCCACTTGTCCTATTCATCATGTTCATGTTTTGTCTGCTTGACAGGACCATAAATTGTTGTATCTTGTATAAAGGCAGTTACAATTTGTGCAATTCTCTCATACTGACCACTGGATCTTCAACATGGCACCTCATGGCAAAGAGCTCTCTAAGGATTTGAGAATTAGCATTAACTTTAGAATTTTTTGCTCTCCACAAAGTTGACCTTGGTTTAGGGAAGATTAGTAACACCCTGAAACTGAGTTACAGTACAGTGGCCAGGGTCATACATTCAGTGCTCAGACCATACACCGCACACTGCAACAAGTCGGTTTGCATGGCCGTCGTCCCGGAAGGAAGTCTCTTCTGAAGCTGGCTCACAAGAAAGCCTGAAAACAGATTGCTGAAAGCAACCTATCCAAGAACATGATTTACTGGAACCATGTCCTGTGGCCTGATGAGACTAAGATAAACTTTGGCTCAGATTGTATCCAGAATGTGTGACGATGCCCTGGTTGAAAATTGTGTCTTGCCTACAGTCGAGCATGGTGGTGGTAGCATCATGGTCTGGGGCTGCATGAGTGCTGCTGGTACTGGGGAGTTGAGCTTCATTAAGGAAAACATGGATTCCAACATGTACTGTAACATTCTGAAGCAGAACATGATGCCCTCCCTTCAGAAACTGGCCCGAACGGCATGATAACGACCCCAAACACACCGCCAAGATGACAACTGCCTTGCTGAGGAAGCTGAAGGTGATGGACTCTCCAAGTTTGTCTCCAGACCTGAACCCTATTGAGCATCTGTGGAGCATCTTTAAGCGGAAGATGGAGATGCGCCATGTCTCTAACATCCAGCAGCTCGGTGATGTCATTATGGAGGAGTGGAAGAGGTCCCAGGAACAACATGTGCAGCTCTGATCAATTCCATGCATAGGAGGATTAAGATAATGCTGGATAATAATGGGGCTCACACAAAATGTTGACTTTGGACACAGTTTTGACATGTTCACTCAGGGTGTACTCACTTTTGCTGCCAGCTATTTTGACAATAATGGCTGTATGTTGAGTTATTTTCAGAGGACAGTAAGTATATAATGCTATACAAGCAGTACATTGACTACTATAAAATATATCCAAGTTTAATTTCTATAGTATATAGAAATAATATACTATATATGTACTCACATTTTAGCAAACATTTTACTATATCATCTCAAGGGACATATATATGAAGAGCTCTTTTCCAAAACGCGATAAACGCCATTTTTTAAAAAAAATGAGTTTGTCGTGTCATTCTGCTGTGGACAGAACCCTTTCACTGCTCCATCAACGTTTCATGCCAAATCGCTATATTTCCTTGTTTAAAATGTACTGCAAGATACAGTTTCTTTCCAAACCGCGATAAGGGCCAGCCCTGTTTTTAGCCTAAACACGATAAATCCTCAAATTCAATGAGCGCTCTACACAATCCAGCACGGCGGCACTCTGAACAGAGGTTTATTATGTTCATTTATTCCTCAAAATGAGTCCTAGTTTTCTAGTCGACTAGTAGTAGATCGTTTAAGCCATTTGTATTATCAGTAATCACATATATTGATTTAATTAAATGAGAGAGAAACCATATGAGCGTTTTTAATCGCCTATTCCGCATTTCAACCTATGCATAAAGCTTGCCACAAAGAACCGACAAAAGTAATGATTATGCATGAAACATTTGAATTGTTTATTAATAAACTAGTGTTTTCTGTCAGTGTCAGCAACAAAGATAAAGTTGATGCTTACTCGCCATCTTCGCAGTGAACGCGCATATAGGCCTATAGAGAGAAACGCATACTTCGAATTAGCCTACATACGCAGAGAGTTGCCAATTTATTTTAGTTTTTAATTGTTTTGTTTAAAAGTAGACATTTAAAGCTTTCTGTAGCTTAGTTCTCAGGCCTGCGTCGCGGTGTTTCGGTTCATATTATGAGACGCGCTCCGGTTCACCTGCGCGCCTCTGTGTCCTGATTATATTGTCTGATATTTACTTCTAATGTATTAATCCAGTCAATTTGTCGATGAAACATTTATTAAAATGAAGATACAATTTATATGAAACGAAATTTACAAGCTTTCTACAAAACAAAACTTAATAAGTGGTCAAAGCCATGTCTGACGCACTCCAAATATTTTCCGATATTGGGCAGCTTTTGAATTTTGATCCTATCTTACTCATCTCATGCGGTTCCCTTTTCATAGCCTACTCAACATAAATGAAATAATAAAAATAAGTAATGTAATATTATTAAACACAAATGTGAAACGTAGCCTATGTTTATTTTTTTTTTTTTTTTTTTTTTACTTTTATTTAAGCGTCATGCTGCTCCGCTTTGCTCACATGTTATGTAGCCTGTGTGTGTGTGTGCATGTGCTGGAGGGGTGCCCATCCCTTTTTTGAATATCGTTATCATAAATTGATCATTTTTAATAATTCGTTTTTTTCATGCATATGTTGAAATTGGTACTATTTGTTTGAGGTTTGACACTTTACTAAAAATGACTTTACTAAAAATGATACAAAAAAATGGATGGATTTATAGTGTTTTGGAAAAAAATAAAATTAACTTTTAAATTATCATTAACAATATTGTTGTTTGATTTAATAATTATTGTTCAAAATGTTCAGACTGAACCAATAAAACATTTAAACAGGATAATTTGAATATTCACAAAATGTGTGGGTCTAGGTAAAAAATGTAGTTTTCCTGAAAACTATTGAAATGGATTTATAGCGTTTTGGAAAAGAGCTCTTCATATGTCCCTTGAGATGATATTGTAAAATGTTTGCTAAAATGTGAGTACTCACTTTTGTGAGATACTGCATACATACATACAGTATATGCATGTCATAATGCATATGTATACATATATATATATATATATAGAGAGAGAGAGAGAGAGAGAGAGAGAGAGAGAGAGAGAGAGAGAGAGAGAGAGAGAGAGAAAGAGAAAGAGAGAGAGAGATATTTCTTGCACTCTACACTATTAGTTCAGAGAGCATTGAGGACAGGCTGGAAAAACATGCACAGTAGGTGAGGTGGGTATTGGATGCCAGGTATTAAAATGGCTTTTTTCAGAAATGAACCATGCTAACAGGCTAATCTCCCAGTCAGCTCTGTGTGAAAACAGATTAATTATAAGCGTTTGTGACACATCCGAGCCATTCGATCCATCCGTCACATCTCACGAAAGCCTAGCATATGGGCCTGCTCTCCACACACTGCAGCTCCTCTGAGACGGAGAGAGAGCGAGAGTGTGGTCCTGACCTTCTGCACACACCGATGAGTCCGTCATCAGCTATTGTGTAAATACATAACAGATGGATAATCACAGAGCGAACACAAACAGCTCGCTCTCACACGCGCACACACGCACACATGGCTGCATTCAGATGTTTTCACACATATTAAAGAGTTTCTAAGGTGGTTAGACTCCTGTATTAAAGGTGAAGTGACTTTTCCATGTAATTCAATTTGTTTGTAAAAGATGCGTAATGGGAGATACAGTTGTTAGTTTCTGAGTAATTGGATTCTGGTTAAATAAATAATATTGAGAGGGCCATGTTTTTTGATAGCCTCCAGGAAGCCTATAGTCAGGACGAGGGAGTGTGTGTGTGTGGAAGAAATACAAAGATATGAATGAGAATAGAGTGCGAGGTTAGTGCTGAGAGCCGTATTGTTTCTTAACTGTGGAGATGCAGGATACACCGGGTTTAGCCTCTACTCTTATCACATTTTACAGCATGAATTATGCACACCTGCAGCTACAATCACAACAATTTCAGTCGGCTGCATGATTCAACACTAGGAGCATTTTCTGGCCTGTGAAATTAGAATTTGGGCTGCCAATCAATTAAAAAAATACTAATTTGAAGAGATTACATTATTCTGGCAGAGCAGTAAAACATTAATTAACATCAAACTTATTATATTATTATATCGTATCGTATCGTATCGTATCGTATTGTAATGTATTATCCATCCATTGTCTAAACTGCATGCCCTCTGCAGGGGTTGTGGGTTTATTATATTAATATTATATCATATCATATATTGTTGAATTATTCCTGTGCCAAATGATCTAATAATTACTCTTTCCTCTTTCCCTGCCCTCCTATTGCTGCATGTGGACTCTACACTCAGATTCAAAGAGTAAGTTCATATTCTACTTTTTGATGAATTATTTGCTGGAGACCGTGTGCTTTTATACCCTCGTTATACAATTCAGCACTATAAAATGGGAACATATGAGTAGAGTGCATGAATTGAGATGAGGACCAAAGGAAGCCCTTTCTGATTCCTCTAGCGATGGCTTTGAAAATGAACAGAAATGACTGGTTTCATGACCTCACAGAGAACAAAGTGAGCCAGGTTCAGTTCCCTCCTAATAAAACACCTCATCTCACATTGTGAAAGGTGCTGAATATCCCATGATATTTTGCAATGCATGAATAAAAAGAGCAGGAAGAGATCAAATGGGAGTCGCCGATGTTCCAGGCCTCATATTCTCCAATAATAGAGCTGAAATGAGCCCTTTGAAAGAAGGTAACTCACTATTTGGGGGTGCTTTTACAGGAGGCAGGCCGAGTGTGCCAAAACTGCCCGGATCCAGAAGTCACTTCCTACTGCCAAATCGACAGGAGGTGGCGCACCGACCAATCTCTACGAGGAACTGGGAGACGGCGGCATGTAAGTCACCTGTCCTAAATAATACCTTCAGAAGAGACTCCAGAGAGATGATTTATGAGATTTGGGTGTGCTTGTGTGAATATTTACAGAAAATGAGAAATGTTTTGGGTGAGTGTGTCTGTAGGAAACTTGAGAATAGTTCACCCAAAAAAAAAAAAAACATTTCTGTCACTTATTTCTGTTATCATTCCAAACTTGTATGACGTTCGCTGTTGGTACAGTATGAGTATGAGGGCTGGGTATTGGGACAAATTTCACAATTCGATTCGATTTCGATTCACAAGCTTGCAATTCAATTCGATTTCGATTCAATATCGATTATTTTGGATATCAGTTACAGTAAATGGCAATTTTTCTCAAGGGAATCAAATCTCTTAACTAATGATGTAAACTATGGGAGTCTAGTTGTAGACTAGGCTTCATTAGCCTAATATGAAGATAAAAATGAACTGTTTTGTACTTTTATTTATTTTTATAATAAATAATAAAAGAAGATTATATGAAATATAAACATTTAAATGGTGGCTGTCATAAAAACTTGCCAGATTTATTCAAATATGCATTAAATATTGAAGAACATTAAGATTATAATGCATATGTAATATGGTGTATATATTTAGCAAAATGCTTCTCTCTAGAGTTATTTTTTCTAGCTGACTAACAAGTTTATGTGGGTTTTCTGAGGTAAATATGACGATACATGACATTGATGACAAGCTGTTTAACTGACGTCGTTCCATGGTTGAAACGCTGATTGAGCGAATCGATGTGACATGATGCGGATTTCGATAAGTTGTACTCTATCTTTTAACATACGTTCAGATGCTCATTCATGTTTATTTGGCGCTGTAACTGGTATTATTAAGCCGGAAGAGAGATCAGCGCTGCTGCTTCTCTTCTTGAGCTGCGCCAGAGCGATCTCACACCACAGCGCCAAAGCTCTATTTATGTTTTTGAATTTCTAAAGAAAATGGACGTACTTTGAAAATTGAGACTTTGTTTCATATCAATAGTAACAAAGGACAAAGATTATTGTGATTTTTTTGGATGCGCGCAGCCGCGATACAATGTTCCATTCATTCAAATGAAACAGGATGACTAATCGATTCTTGAGATTTAAAAATCGATATCGGTTCGTAAAAATGAGAATCGATTAATATCGAGAAATCGATATTTATTACCCAGCCCTAGTATATACACTACGGAAATATTTTGGACCAAAACAGGATCATAAAAGTAGTCCATAGTAATCAATTTTGAAGGGTTTGTTCACCCAGAAATGAAAATTATGTCATTAATTATTCACCCCCATCACATTCCAAAACTGTAAGACTTTCATTCATCTTCAGAAACACAAATGAAGATCTTTTTTAGTGAAATCTGAGAGCTCTCTGTCCCTCCATTGACAGTCTATTTTATTTAATATGCTTTACTTTATTTAAAAAAAGAACAACATAATTTACCACTTTTATTTACAAAAAATTGCTCCCCAACGCACGCTCACGAGAGCACCACGACGCATGCGAATTGTGTTAACATGAGAGCAGATGTTTCAAGAACTGCATATTTAGGAAATAGCAAATTATATTTAGGATTTTTTTGCACAAACAAAGAAAAAAATTTAAGTTAAACCACTGGCTGCTCTTTTGGCTTTAATAATAAGACCATATTGAGATGTCCTCAGTGCACTTTTAGTGTAGCAGTAGTCCAATGTCAAGCTAAAGGCTGTTGTGAGTGGAATGAAATGTTAATAGATTAAAAGATTATAGCCGCAGCACAGCATCTGCGTCCCTCAGGTAAAGCCTTTTAAAGTGCTTTTGATTTAATGCAATCAAAACAAATGCAGATGCTAACACAAATAGACAGCGGAAAAGACGAGGTTTTGTATTGAATTCATTACAATAGATGCTGAACTGCAGTTTAATACCATCAACAGAAAGGAACAGGACATAAGGGCAGGATTTGTTTGCTTGTTTATCTGGGAAAACAGTTTGTTCTTTTGTTGGATATGAATAATAACATAGCCTGTCAGCAACCTTACAAAATAATTTTCTCTGTCTGTGACCCTCACACTCTCACAAACACACAATCATTTCATAAAAAAAATTAAAAAAATACATAAAAATTTAATAAACAAAATACATAATATTTTTTCATAATTATGTTTTGTTATAAGAAAATTAAGCATTATTTAGGGGGGAAAAAAGGTATTTATCATGACATTCTATCCGATACATGTCTTGATAGACATTTTAAAAAAAAAAAAATACTGTCAACCTGTGTTATTTAAGTATCATTGAGTAATTTCTTAATGAGTTTGAAATATTTTGAATTCATTTTTTTTCTAATTTCATTTTAATTTAAAGTTGCAGTATAGTTTATTTATTTGTTACATCTTTTAAGTTACTGTATAGTTTTATTCTTTTTTTGGGTTTTATTTTATTTTTATTTTTTGCTTTTTTTTCAATTTTAGTGCATCAAGATATTAACTAAATGAAAATTATAAATGTTACTTTTGCAACTAGCTAAAATACAGTAAGTTTAAGTTTGTTTTATATTTTATTTCAGGCAACTATTTTTTGAAACAGTAATGAAACATTTTTTTTATGGTTAAGTTTTAGTTCACCTTGCTGTGAACAATGCAAAAAAACTACAACAATTAGACACATTATGGTAACAAGAAATTGTAGTTGAAGTATACCTTAATGGTCCTTAAATACTTGTAATTGTCTTGATTTAATGTTATTTTGCAATAGATTTGCGGGTGACCTAGAAATATTTTATTTACATTGCCATTTCAAATGAAATGTTAGTCTCTTTAGTCTCTTTTCTATTTTTTCTTTTGCATGTATCTTTATGCTCATTTTTTTACATGTGTAATGAACGGTTGAACGGATGAGTGGTTGCATTTCCTCTCTATTTGCCTTTTGTGTCTCTTGGGCCCCATCACATGGGACATTAACATGCATTCCACATTTAGAAAATATCTGGAGCTGGATTGCATTTATTCATTGCACTTAGAGTAGGAATGCATGCTTACATTTTACTTGCATAATTTTACTGTGTGTAAATAACAAAAACACATTTGCATTGGTGTAAAAAGCATGATTTTGTGTGCATTTTACATCTGGCTTTTAATGTGGTCAAGTTTCTGATTCAGTCACTAAAAATGCATGTTAACGCCAAATGTGAACAGGGCCTGTCTGTGTTAAATTGTTATCATATCCATCTGTCTACATGTATTTTTCCTCTCATGTTTCATTCATTATTCATTCTCATCTTCTCTCTGTATTTCCCAGGCTTGGACTACAGTGAGTAACATGAAATACGCTGAATTTCCCTGCAGTGTTCTTTCTTACAAATCTGCTATTTTAAAATCCCTCTTGACTCACATTTGTGGTTTCTTGTCCCTGAGTAGCTGCTCTTGTAGTTTTCTTTACCATTTAATCTGTTATGCCTCGATTTGTTTCAATATGCAAATTGAAGAAACATTTTGCTCTATTAACTTTTTTTTTTTAATGCACAGATCCATGTGTGTAGCTGAGTATAAAGCTTCAGTAGTTTAGCTATAGATAAAGCCTTTCCAGTTGTAGTGGTTCCTCGCAGTTTTCTACAAAAAGCAAATAAATACTTTACTTGTCCTTCACTTTAAGACTCGACGTTGTAACAGATCATCTTGATTGAATTTTATCTGAACAGATTTTTGAGTGGTTTATGAGTGCTTTGAGCTTCATAGCTGGTAGTGCACAATTTTCATGATTTTAGGCACACTGATCCTGCTTGAATTCATTAATTCTGTGTTCCATACAAGGTCGAATGTGGGAAATTCCTCTCAGATTAGTCTCAGATGACGACGTAGCTTTATTTTTTTTTCTTGCAGGTAGAGTAAAACAGGGCTAAAGGCACATCTTACAGGCCCCAGTATACTCATGGCCACATTCTTTTTCATTCTTCACATAGGGGTGCTCAAAAAGTCTGTAAAACGTGACCATCGGTACACTGTTATCGAAAATTATGAGACCGCCCACGCTGTTGAGAGCAGCATTAGCTGGATATGTAAATATGTGCTGCACACTTTACTTTCAACATCAAAATAAAGACACAACAAAATTGACAGTGGAATGAAAACAGTAGCTAAGAAAGCATATGATCATAGAGATGTGGATATATTTGCACAAGATCTGCAATTCAGCATGCAGATTTAGAGTATTAAACATGAAAAAATAGTGTCCGTGTTTCAATTAGAATTACAAATTCAAGTGGTTCTTCAATGTATTCCTGTTTTTATTACGGAATGAACAAAATAGATTTTTCAGAAGTTCACACACAGCCCGTTCTTAGATTTTGCTTGAAGTATATCCGGAACTCAAGGAAAACGTGGGAAATACGTGTTCTGTTATTGAACATTGATGGATCAGCACATTTTGTAGTGATTTTTTTTTTTTTGTTTTTTTTTGTTTTTTGTATTAACAATTTTTATATTACACAATGTGCTGATTTTAATTTAAAATCATATTAATTTATAAAGTGGAGAGGATATAATGTACAATATGCAAAATACTCCCAGTATTGAAATTAAGTTATAGAAGTGTGTTTTGCCTTCAGCAAGGATTGATTTACTTTTTCTTTTGCTAAATGAAATAAGTAAATTTACAGTAATATATATATATATATATATGCCCCCTTTAGACATTCTACTAACTATAAGTAACTTTGCAATAGCAACTAACTATCATTAGATTGTTAGTAGACTGTTAGGTGAATTTGGTTCTGAGATGGTAGAATAAGTTGACATGTAGTTGCAAAGTTACTTATAGTTAGTAATAAATGCTAGTAGACCATCTAAATAAATAATAATAATATTAATAAACTTTATTTTATCTAGCGCCTTTACAAAGTATCTCGAAGTGCTTCACAAGAATAGAAACAAAATAAAACATACAATTAAACAAACAATACATTACTGGCAGAAAAATGTAATAAAGTACAAAATAAAAACATGAAATATAGTATTAATAATAATAAGACAATTTTAAACAATTATGTAAATGCTACCCCAAACAAATAAGTTTTAAGTGATGATTTAAAAATACTATGAAAAACACTTGGAACTAGTAAGGCAAGGAATTCCAAAGTTTTGGAGCATTTGACGAAAAGGCCCTATCACCCATGGATTTTAGTCGGGTATGTAAAACAATTAAAAGGCCAGCTTCCAAAGAACAGAGATCATGTGCTGGTGTGTAGGGTGTTAAAAGATCAGTTAGATTATGAGGTGTCAGTGTAAAGTGTATATAATAAAGTATATTTCGTAATTTAAAATATCCTTATGTGCTACTGAAATCGATAGCATTTAAAAAACATTAAAGGGTTAGTGCACCCAAAAATTTAAATTGTGTCATTAATGACTCACCCTCATGTCGTTCCAAGCCCGTAAGACCTTCATTCATCTTCGGAACACAGATTAGGAAATTTTAGATTTAGTCCGAGAGCTTTCTGTCCCCCCATTGAAAATATATACACGTATACTGTCCTTGTCCAGAAAGGTAATAAAGACATCATCAAAGTTGTCCATGTGACATCAGTGGGTTAGTTAGAATGTTTTGAAGCATCAAAAAAACTTATTGGTACAAAATAACGAAAACTACAACATTATTCAGCATTGTATTCTCCTTCGGTTCTGTTGTCAATCCATGTTCAGTGACGCTGATGACGCAAGACGCTGCTGACGTATTATCTGGTGTGTTATCAATATTGCCTGGACATTCAGATGGTAGAGTCATAATATGGCGTAAACAGAATGAGAATATGGATCCATCATGCCTTATTACCACTGTGCAGGCCGGTGGTGGTGGTGTAATGGTGTGGGGAATGTTTTCTTGGCACACTTTAGGCCCCTTAGTGCCAATTGGGTATCATTTAAATGCCACGGCCTACCTGAGCATTGTTTCTGACCATGTCCATCCCTTTATGGCTATCATGTACCCATCCTCTGATGGCTACTTCCAGCAGGATAATGCACCAAGTTACAAAGCTTGAATCATTTCAAATTGGTTTCTTGAACATGACAATGAGTTCACTGTACTAAAATGGCCCCCACAGTCACCAGATCTCAACCCAATAGAGCATCTTTGGGATGTGGTGGAATGGGTAACACAGTCTCATCCCAAAAAGTCTTATAACTGACGTTTTGGGACGTATTTTGACCATACGTCAATATCCGCCTTTTTAGGGCCCCCTTAAACGTCGCTAGATGGCGATCCCGGGCCGTCATACAACTGACGCTTTACCTTTAACGTAAGTTAGGTGACGGGCTAGGTTTAGGCTTAGGTTTAGGTCTGGGGTAGAGTTAGGATCCCATGACCTCATCTACCGACGTTTAAGGGGGCCCTAAAAAGGCGAATATTGACGTATGGTCAAAAGACGTCCCAAAACGTCAGTTATATGACGTCTTGGGATGAGACCGGGTTGGAATGGGAGCTTCATGCCCTGGATGTGCATCCCACAAATATCAATCAACTGCAAGATGCTATCCTATCAATATGGGCCAAAATTTCTAAAGAATGCTTTCAGCACCTTGTTGAATCACATAGAATTAAGGCAGTTCTGAAGGCAAAAGGGGTTCAAACACAGTATTAGTATGGTGTTCCTAATAATCCTTTAGTTGAGTGTATTTTTGATGCTTCAAAACATTCTAACTAACCCACTGAAGTCACATGGACTACTTTGATGATATCTTTATTACATTTCTGGACAAGGACAGTAAACCGTACATACATTTTCAATGGAGGGACAGAAAGCTCTCGGACTAAATCTAAAATATCTCAAACTGTGTTCCGAAGATGAACGGGCTTAAGGGCTTGGAACGACATGAGGGTTAACTAACCTATTAAATATTAGATCAACTTAGCACAGATCAACTAAATTTCCTGGTGCGTAGTTAACCGCGTATGTGGTTTAGAAGAAAATGTCTTTAGCCCCATTGGACCCTATGATTATCAGTAAAAATATCATAGTAACTGTGTTATAAACATCTTTTACTACAACAGTTTGTTAAATGGGTTTAATCATCATTGCACTTCTCAGAGAAGAGAATTCTGGCTTTACGAATCGAACACAGCATAATGTCTCCTGAAGCTTTAATAAGAATATTTATCTCAAAAGCCATAAAATGAGAGTATTTGATTCGGCTTATTCAAAGCTCAATGCAATATTGTGAGCAAATTGGTTTGGCCATTAAAGTGAAGGATTTGTATATAGTGGGTCATTAGAGTGCTATCCTCCCATGGCTGAATGTTCTCTTCCCTCAATTCCTCACTGTCTCTTTCCACACATTTCAATCTTCTCTCCTTTCATTGTCTCTCGTGGCCCGCAGAAGGCGGCGGAAGTCTGTAATCGAGGAGGTGGATCGACAGAGTCTCATAAGAACCTTTGCCTCTCGTGCAATCGCAGTCTACAAACAGTGTGCCGGAAACGGAAGGTTTTGCAACAAGCTGCCCAAATCAGAGAACACAGTCACCTTCCTCTCAGATGAACGGCCTCTCACCACCCAAAATATACTTTTCCAGGATGGAGCATCCAGCAGTCCAGAGCCCAACTCTGAGGTTTTCAGGGTTTCTGGATTTTTGGACAGTGACTCTCCGTCTTCAACAAGGCCATGCAGCCAGATAACTTCTTGGTCCTTGCCGTCCCATTTTCGAGGGTCAGGACTTTATGATGCTCGGCCCCGAAAGGGTCTCTGGGACCCCTCTGAATGGGAGGAGCAAGAGCTAAAGGCGGGGCTTAAGGACAGTAGGGAAGAACTTGATGCAGATCTAGATCAGAGTGGTTGTTGCACAGAAACAAAGCTGTCTGTCAGAGAACAGGCTAGACAGTTTGAGCAGCAAGCTTTAGCCGAGCGGACGCCCAGACAGAGCCGGGACTCTTACGCATCTCTGGATCTGGACGACCCGCTACTAACCGCCATCATGCTGTCGTCTAGTCCAATTTCTGTCGGCAAAGACATCCCACCCTGCATTATCATCCCCGGGGACGATGGCGAGACTCCTCCCCCTCCCGCGGCTCAGCGGCCCACTCCACCCGTCCTGAGGAAGTTCAGCTCCAGTATCTCCAATTACATGACAGTTGAGCCTTGTGAAATCACTTTGGAATTCATATCAGACTCTCCGGACAGCTCCCCACCCCTTCTGCCTGTCCCACTCCGTTCTTTTCTTTCTCCTCCACCTTTGCAACAGGATTTCACCCCACCACCAAGCCCAACTCCCATTCAGCCTCCTGAACTCCCAGTTCAGTCTCCGACTCCTACTCCTAAACTTAGAGGGATCCTCAAGAACACAAGCCGATCCACCGGCAGCCTGAAAGATGAGTGCAGTTGCGAAGGAGGAAGTAAAGACTCCAAGAATGTTGTGCTAAAAGAACCAGAATCTAAACAGGACAAAATATATGCCAGCCAATCAAAAGCTGACTCTTCTACTCAGCTCTCAAACCAACCAATCCCAGAGGAATGAGATACTTTGCCCACTTCAGGCCTTGGTTTCTGAATGAACTGGAACTCTTTTCATATCTTCTTTCTTAAACCTCCTCCAACTGTTTCATCGTTTACTTTTTTGAGGGCACTTTACTTTGAGAGCACTTTATAATCTTCACTTCAACGAAAGTTTCAATGTGATTGAAAGGTGTTTTTTTTTTTTTTCTCAGTGCATAACTTACATTTTGCTCTTTTTATATGTAACAGTCCTTCATAGAGTGGATTTCTCAATCAAATAGAACACAGCAGAGAAAGGGAGTGGAATAATTGATGTTATATGTTAACATATGTTAAATTATATTTTTTGACAATGAAATACTACATGTATGCAAATATAAATATTTCTGCAAGAACAACTATATAGGTATAAGTTTTATAAGAACAAATGTTTTACATTTATGTGTTGCTATAATCACATGATCACATATATAATATTTGATAATGTGTGTTCATGCAGAACATTCTACCTCTAAGCAGTTTCTATTCATTATTATTTGTAATTTACTGGTTTAAACTGGTCTGCTGCTTTCAAATTGCATACAAGTAGATGTTTTGTTTTGATAATATGTAAATCTATGTGCAATTAAACATACAGTACACTACTCTTCTAAAATTTAGGTTTTATGCATTGAATTGATCAAAAGTGGCAGTAAAGAGATTTATAATGTTACTAAACATGTTATATTTCACATAAATGTTATTCTTTTGATCTTTTTATTTAAAAAAAAAAAGAAAAGTGTATCCCATTTCCACACCAATATACTGTATATATATATATATATATATGAAGCAGACCAACTGTTTTCAACATTGGTAATAATAAGAAATGTTTCTTGAGCAGCAAATCAGCAGCAAATGATTGCAACACTGAATGGTGAAAAATCAGCTTTGCCATTATGTGGGTCGGCATTGGCTCAGTGTTCATGTAGGTAGTCTACAAATCAGGAGGTTTGTGGTTCAATCCCCGGTTCCACCTGATCAAGTGTCCAGGTTTCCATTTCCTAACCCCAGCTGCTCTCGATGAGCTGGATGGCGCCTTGCATGGCTGACACTGCCGTTGGTGTGAATGAGTGAGTGAATGGGTGAATGTGAGGCAAAAAAATAAAAAAGAAATAATAATAATAATAATAATATATATATATATATATATATATATATATATATTTCACAATACTACTGTATTTTAGGTGAGTGTAAGATACTTCTATCAAAAAATCGTACTGAACCCAAACTTTTGAGCAGTGATGTATATTTTTACATTTATGTTTACCATTTAAATGGTTTTGTTCTTTTTTCTTTTTTTTTCGTACGAAAAGTACAGCATGCATTAATTTAAATGTTTTTTTTTTTTTTTTTTGTATTGCACATTTTTAAGAAGAGCAAGAGAAATAATGTATTTCCAATAGACTATATTTAATAATAATGGACTTTTTATCAACTTACTCAAACTAATATTTGAACTGACCATCACTGTTTATGAATATTTAATGTTTAACCGGTGACGTGCTTCCTCGCGGGTGGATTTTAATGAGAGAAAATCTTATCATGATCATGTGACATTGAGAGGACTAGGAGTGACAGAGATTGTAATCAAATTTGATGAGAATGGACCTTATAATTAAAGATCACATTTTGTTTAATCAGTTTAGTTTGATCAGAAAAAGGAATAAGAATGAATTAAATTATATTATCTATTAGTCTGCACTGTCTAAGTGATGCCAATGGGAAAGGGAGGTGACTTCAGAGGAAAAGCAAGTTATTACCTTTTGATTGAAGATTAGAAAATTTTTATTTTGGAATAACGAGCACTGATGAGTCATTCACAGTAAAACCAGGAATATGCATTAAGGGAGGCTAGAAACAGATCATTCTTTATCTGTCTTTCTCATTTATTCACAGTGTTGGGGAAAGTTACTTTTAGAAGTAATAAGTTACAATACTGCGTGGTTACTTTTTATGGAAAATAATGTTTTGTTACTTTTGCTGTACATTTTCTCACCTGGGCTGGGCTTGCTATTTTTTTTTTTTTTTTTTTTTTTTTTGTAATAACCATTCACACGAAAATTGATATAAATAAACCTCAGGCTATAAAGGAAATGCAAAGTCCTGCCTGTACAGTAGAGGGTGCAGCTCAAACAAACCTTTCATAAACCATTCTGAACACGTGAAGGAAGTTCAATACTCTTACTTGAGCAATAAAAATGACAAAACTCAAATGTGATGTTCATTTTAGCTTATTAGTATGTTGAATTGGATCATTGAAGGTCAACAGCAAAGACATTGTTTAATAAAGTGAGATTAAATAAAGTAAAAGATGGTGTTATTTTACATATTTAAGGTTTGCATTTCACTGTTTTTTATTCATTTTGAGGAATACTGAATCTGTTTTTGTGCAAGTGAGATGAGTAAATGCTTGCTCACATGTAGTCTAGAATTATAATTACCATAAAGGGTTAGTTCACCCAAAAATGAAAATTAAGTCATTAATTACTCACCCCCATGCTGTACCAACCCCGTAAGACCTTCGTTCATCTTCGGAACACAAATAAAGATATTTTTGATTGAATCTGAGAGCCGGATCACTCTTCCATATAGGCTTCCTAAGGGACTGGCTCTTGACGGCCCATAAAGTCATTAAAGAAAAGGTTTAAATATTCCATGTGCCTACAGCGGCTCAATTATAAGTTTATCAAGCGACGAGAATACTTTTTGTGCGAAAAAAAAATATAAATAACGACTTTATTCCACTATTCCATTACTTCCTTATGGGCGCATGCGCGAGAACTGAGACGAGGACGCTCTCATTTGTCTACTTCTTGTTACCGGCTGCTCACCGCTTAGGAGTTTTACCGCCCCCTACCGTATAAAATGATGATCCATATATAAGGCGCTCCGGATTATAAGGAACACTGTCGTTTTTTGACAAGATTAAAGGCTTTTAAGTGCACCTTATAGTGCGGAAAATACGCTAATTGAAAATCGTATGCACAGCGCGCATCTTCCTCTGCTTCTAAACAGAAAGTTTTGCGCTTCCAGCTATATCAGCACATCATCTTATACGGTAGGGGGCGGTAAAACTCCTAAGCGGTGAGCAGCCGGTAACAAGAAGTAGACGAATGAGAACGTCCTCGTCTCAGTTCTCGCGCATGCGCCCATAAGGAAGTAATGGAATAGTGGAATAAAGTCGTTATTTATGTTTTTTTTTTTCGCACAAAAAGTATTCTCGTCGCTTGATAAACTTATAATTGAGCCGCTGTAGGCACATGGAATATTTAAACCTTTTCTTTAATGACTTTATGGGCCGTCAAGAGCCAGTCCCTTAGGAAGCCTATGGAAGAGTGATCCAGCCCTCAGATTCAATCAAAAATATCTTTATTTGTGTTCCGAAGATGAACGAAGGTCTTACGGGGTTGGTACAGCATGGGGGTGAGTAATTAATGACTTAATTTTCATTTTTGGGTGAACTAACCCTATAATGTTTGCATAGCACACACAATATCTCTATATAATATTTCTCTCAACATTTGGACAGAACTGTCAGTCTATAAATGGGAAAACCAATTAATGTGTGTTACTTATTTGAAAATGTAAAAAAAATAATGATAATAAAAGCAATGCTTTACTGGTTATTTGGAAAAATAATCTGATTACAAAACTCACATTATTTGTAATCCATTACCCTCCAACACTGTTCACTATCTATTCTCTCTCTCTCTCTCTCTCTCTCTCTCTCTCTCTCTTTCTGTTCTCTCTCTCTCTCTTTCTGTTCTCTCTCTCTCTCTCTCTCTCTCTCTCTCTCTCTTTCTGTTCTTACTAATTTTAAAAGCTGTTAAGAGTGCCAGACCTCCTGATGCTCGCCTTTCTTGATTCAGTCTTGCAGATGTTTTTTGCCCTTTCAGAAACTCAAGCTGTCAAAACTCACATAGAGATTAAACAATACAGCTAATCGTTGATGTGGCGCATGGCAGGGGGACGTTCACTCTGCCGTTCCCCGCTGAATTCACTCCATCGAGTGCGCAGTCAATGTCTCCCCATTCAGACCAACTGCTCCAACAATATCTCTGTGCTGGTCTGCAGATGTCATCTCTCTCATCCATATCTAAAAATCTGTTTGAAATCTGTCATCACCCCATAAGCAAATGCATACAGATGTCTCCTCTTCAGTTCTGAGCACCTTTGAAATACACAAACATTGTGTTTGCAGTAGCACCAAGTAGTTATAGGAGTAGTTCACTTTAAAAAAAAAAAAAAAAAAACTGTTGCTGATAATTTACTCACCCCCATGTCATCCTAAATGTCCATGTCTTTCTTTCTTCAGTCGAAAAGAAATGAAGGTTTTTGATGAAAACATTCCAGGATGTAATACACTTTACTGGGAACCAAACGGTTCAAGGTCCAAAAGACAGTTTCAGTACAAACTGCAAACTGTTCAAAGGGCTTTACACAATTCCAGACGATGAATAAGGGTCTTATCAAGCGAAACGATCGGTCATTTTAAACACAAATAACAAAGTTTACGTTTTATAAGCTCAAATGCTCGCCATGCTCTGTACTACGATGCACGTTCGTGACTCTCCTGTTCGAACACGTTCATCAAAATGAACAAATCTTTTTTCCGAGTCAATTCGTTCATTTCGTTTGTTGAATGAACCAAATGACTTGATAAAAGATTTGTTCATTTTGATGAACGAGTTAGAACAGGAGAGTCATGAACTTGCATCACAGTACAGAGCAAGGCGACCATTTGAGCTTATACAGTAAAACGTAAACTTTGTTATTTATGTTTGAAATGACCAATCGTTTCCCTTGATAAGACCCTTATTCATCGTCTGGAATTGTGTAAAGCCCTTTGAACAGTTTGCAATTTGCACTGAAACTCTCATTTGGACCTTGAACCGTTTGGTTCCCATTGAAGTGCATTATATGGAGAAAAATGCTGGAATGTTTTCATCAAAAACTTTAATTTCTTTTCGACTGAAGAAAGAAAGACATGGATATCTTGGATGACATGGGGGTGAGTAAATTATCAGCAAACGTTTTTTTCAAAAGTGAACTACTCCTTTAAAAAATGAATGAAATGAAATTACATTTATTGTACCCACAACTATTCAATAGTCAACAAAGG